AAAGGAGAGGGTTATCCACTGAAGACATTACAAAAAAAGAGAGAAAGCTCATTGCTATAATGCAGTGCTCAAAGCTGGGAAAGGAGAAAACATCAGCTAATGAAATCGAGCAAACAAGAAGTTCAGCATTTCAAAGACTACTTGACATAACCACTGATATATTACTAGCCTAAATCCAAAATATAACTCAACTCAACATTTAGGTTTTTGAGAGTGACAGCATGTGAATGCCCTTTTTTATATCTAAACGCTACTTGAATTACAAATAGCTCAATAAAACAAGAACAAGATTTCAAGAAGGGGGAAAAAGATTGAGCTATGCTGCATTCTTTAAATCAGTATTATGCCTCAAAAGAAAAAAAAGAAAAAGAAAAAGTAACCCAGGACATGTTTTAAGATCTATTTGAAGATCTGTGATGCATATGTATCAAGCACATTAAGAATAAAGCAGCAAATCCAGACTGCTTTTACAGAACAAATGATTTGCTTTAGTTGGGAATGAAGTAGCCAGTGTTCGGAGAATGTTTTTAACGTTGACTTCTGGAAAGTACCAATTCAGTGCAGGAAATTTTTTTAAATTATTTCCACAGGTAAACACTGTATTTATTACATTCAGAAAACAACAGGAATTTACATAGCTGAGCCTGCATGTAGTCTTGTAGCATTTTTCTTCTCCTTTACATTCATAATAAACATGAATTATATATGGAGACAGCCATGCTTTGTTTAAACTGCTACACTAAGTACTCCTTGACAGCAGTAAATCAATGGTTTGCTTTCTCATACACTTTATTGAATGTAATAACTGGAAAAAAAAACACAAAAAAACAAACAAACAAACAAAAAAAAAACAACAATTAATTCAAGGGATAAACAGTGATTCTTTGCAGCTAAACAGTATTAAAAGAATACTGTTCCGTTGTTCATACATTTGCTGTTAAATTATTGCTGCTACAACATTACTGGCCTTGGGTTTTATTTTTCTCATTATTTGATTCTCAATGTTATTTTGCATAACTTAGTCCTCTCACTTAAAATGATGGCTGCAAAAAATATTTCCTCACTCTCCGACTAATAAGCCAATTAACATTAGCTTTTAAAGATAGTAATCAGTTTTTCATTTCTATTTCTGCCAACAAATTAAACCCAAAGTTCTTGGTACTTTTTTTATTGCCAGTACTGGTATAAATTTTACTTCCAAATATACATATGATACTCAAATGTCTGTAACGTCCTCTGTGAGTTCCAGTTAGGCTGTTTGGATACATTAGGAGAGAATAAGTGAGTAAAATTGTTTGGAAGATGTCTCATTAGACTTCTGCTACATGGTGTCACCAAATAAATGGTGGAAGCAAGATTGGATGTATGGTGACATGCAGTGGACAAAAATGCAACATTAGGTAATGAAATTGCAGAGTTTATTCCAGTTTGTAGCTCCTTGTTTTAGAAGTAGAGAAATAGGAACAGCTTATGGGAGAGAAAGAAGTATTGGGTGGAATAGTTGTGTTTTTCTGTATTTGTTGAATGAACTCAATACACATCTTCTTATGGCTATCTCTCTTCACCCTTGCTGATGCTAATGCTTTTCTTCATTAAGTGCTGGAATGCTGGATAAAGCCTGCACCTAATTCTTACTGAATGGAATTTATTAAATATTGTGAGCTCAGACTGTCTCTGCCTCATCTGAATTAACTTCCTCCACCAAAAATTTCAGTTAAGAGGAGTTTGATTTGCTGTGTAAAGATCCAAACGTGTAAGAACATCTGATTATTGAAAAGTTGGAATATAGACAGTCTTCTAAAGATGAAAGTGACCAGAAAGAAGAAACAAACTGTACACTTTGACTTTTATATTAGTTAAGTGACTGAATCTCCATGAAAATGTGCAGACGCTTGTACGGTGGTCATGTTCAGTATGGTGCCCTGCAGACTTTCTCCAGGCTGTGTTCCAAGGCCTGAACGTGATTTTTGAGGTTTGAGGAAATCTGCTCTCCTCTCCTTGTAGAGGGGGAGAGATTATTTCTATATATAGAGAAAATTGTACCTGCAATCTATTGTACAATAGATTGTACAATATCAAAGGTATTTCTTAACCTTTGATTCAGTAAGGATGGAGATTCGATCCATTGCCATTTAGACCATTAGCTACCTGTTCCTGGAAAAATGTTGATAAGGATTGGTCCTGCACAGTCTTGGATTTGAGTATTGCATGCTAGGCAATAAATTGAGTCACTTAGCAACTTTGTCTTGGACAAACTATTTGCTATAATTTAAGGGCTGGACTAAGTGAGCTTTACTTCTAAAGAAGAAAAACATTACTATTTGTTTCTCCCCTGTGAAGCTTATATTTTCTCCGTTATAGCCTACGTTCTTACATTAACAACTTAAATAACAATTCTAGCAACCATGTAACTGAGATCAATGCATGTAAGTCATTATTGGTTCCTGTTTGAGGCTGACAGTGACCAAATCTGTTTGGGACAGGAAGCAACCAAAGGTATGAGCTAGCCTTTAGGAGACAAGAGGCTTAATTGTTAGCAGTACTATGAAAAACGTCTCTTTGCTTTCTGCCAACTCTGTGAAAGGATTCTGAATAGTTTGTGTGCAGCCAGAAGTATTGATGTTTAAATGATCAAAAACTCAGCTTTGAACATTTTTTGTCTTGAGGCCTGGGTATTTTCTTACACTTTTTCAAAAATGAAATGAAGCCATTGTATAGCAGCGGAGGGAAGACAAACAAGCTCCTGTTATACAGATGACAGGATGTTAAAAGTAAAAATCCTAGAGTCATTGTGAAGTGTAGAACTGTGTATGACTTCTCCTAGAAGGTGTTTCAGATACAGGGAGAAATAGTTAAAAAATCAAGTAATTCTGCAGTGAGTTGTTTTGTTTTTGTTTTTGTTTTTGTTTTTTAAAAAGGAAGAAAAAAAATAAATCCTCTTTATTTTGTCCTTGAAACCTCAAAGAGAGAGCTACTTCATAAAAGCACTGGAGGTATTTTCCAGTAACTGAAAGTGGGCCTGGGTCATTTGCTGTAAGGATCTGATGCACTTTAATCCTTAGGGTTGTTCACTGAATTTCCACTTAGGCATTTACGCTTTCTCTGCCTGACTCTTGTGCTGTCATATCCATTAGCATGCTAAAAAATCCATGGTTGTGTACAACCATAGCAACTGCTATCAAAAGATTATCTTCCATTTTTGTTTGAGTATGCTGAAGTTTTGTTACAAGTTGTCCTAAGTACACACATGGGCCATAGTCACTTCTCATCTTTCATGCTCATTTTAATGTCACTTGGTAACACAAGAAGGTAGGGTGACTTAATGTGTATTTCTTCACATTACTGAATGATGTGAAATAACAGACATTTTGCTGAAAATTTCTACTTGAAAAGCCTGAAAAGCAGGCCAGGTAAAAACTTTCAAAGTTGTTTATTTAAAAAAATTCCGTAATTATCAAATGAGAAAGATTATAATGATTGGATAAGGCTGTCGATTCTCAAAAGCCAAATGACAATGAAAATAAAATAGGACTTTGAATTCAGATAACCTAATTTTATTTCCATTCTCCTACTGAATGGTTTTAATAACTTATAAGGACAGTATTGTTCTGCATGATCACACTGGTCTTGCATCTTCTTTTAAGGTATGAGTCCTCCTCTTCAATTTTTTTTTTTTTTTTTTTTAATATAAATTACAGTGAAATTAAAATGATTGACAATTGAGTTTGTAAAACAGTATGGCAGTCATGAAAGTGAGGCTGGTTTTGATACTGCCAAGATGCCTGCTAGCATTTTTGTTGCATTAAGGGGAAAGAAGAAAGTCAATTCGCAAAGAACATTTACTGTCTAGGCCTCATTGTCCTTCCATTTTGTTTAACCTCTTTTTAGATGTTTGATGGAATGTGGACAGATAATTGAGTGTAGGATCAAGTCTTATTCCTGGAATGGCTTTCAGGGCTGCTGAAGTGAATTCTCTCAATGCAATAACATGAAAAAAGCTTTAAGTAGAACATCTCGCATCGTGGTCAAGGAGATTCAAAATGTAGCATTGTAATAAGCAAGGTTGTTAAAAATAGGCCAGCTGAAGGCAGTAGGCTTCTCCTATACAAACAAACAGTGCTCTTCAGCAGGAAAACAACAGCAAAACCACAAATTCAGAAAAGGAAAAAAAAAAATATTATTACAGCATACAAGAATAAAATCTGTTACATTCAGTTGTGTGTAGTCACTGCTTCCTTTTCCCTGTACCTACAGTGTATTTGAGTCTGCCTCGCTGTCTCCTTCGGTTCAGTTGAAGGTGATAATCACTTGCCGCCAAACCAAAAGGAAAAGCAAACTGTTATTCTCATGGCAGTAACAAGGTGGTGTGTTTTTTTTGTTTTTTTTGTTTTTTTTTTGTTTGTTTGTTTTCAATGAAGGAGCATGTGTGCTCCAATTATTTGACTTCATGTCAAAAAAAAAAAACAAAAACAGATCTTGGCTATGTTTGCTTTCTGCTTTCCAGTCAACGTGCTTACAGCACTGTATTTTCTAATGTTTCTGGTGTGCAGGCTGACACTGCAGCACCACCGTATAGTCTGTTACCTTCTGTCACATCTACTTAGATCTAAAGTAACATGTATATACTAAGACACAACCTGATGAAACACAGCACGTTGGCAAAATAAAGTCATGCTCCTTGGCCTTGGGGACAAGTGCAGAAACTGAAATTCTAATACAAAGACACTGCAGGCAATAGTGCATTTGTTTACTGCCCTCGTTGATAAAATGAAAATCATTCCATTTTCAATGATGACAAATTCGGTAATATTTAAAGAAAACATTTGCTAAAATGTGTGATCTCAGCATAGGGTTTGTTTCTCATTGCCTGTTTTTCAGATGTTAATGGGAAAATTACAAATGAAGAAAGGACCAATCTAAGTAATTTCTACTGCTTATTAGAAACCAGTTAAATATGTGAGTAAACTGTAAATGAGCTTTTTCTCCAATCTCATTCATGAACTGAATTTTATTCTGTAAAAATGTATTTTTTTCCTGTAGAAAAAACATGTATAGAAAGCATGTCCTGACAGATTTATCAACAAATTCAATTAAACTAAAAGCTAGAATGTCTGCACTAGCAAAATTGTACATGAGAAATTGCCTCATGAAGTTAATGATAATACATTATGTCTACTGATGATCCAGCCTTCTGGCTCCAGTAAACGTTTAAAAACATCTAAAAGTAAACCAGAATCCTTCCCACTGTCAAAACAAAGGAATACGACCCTTTTAAACTTAACATGAACTGAAGGCTCATAAAGATCTTACAATTTCTTTTTAGTAAGGTGTTTATTGCCGGTAGAAGATAATGAATGGGTATATTCAGGAAATAAAGCTACTGCTCAACATTTAGATGAAGGGGGGGGAGGGTTCTCTCTACAGCTACCTAGCGCACTGCATTCAATGGTTTATCTCTTGTCTTTTCCAAGTAGAAAGGAAATTTCATTATAATAAATACCACTTTTTCTGGTAGGCGATCAAGCTGGGGAGAGAGATTATTTAACACCTTTTATTAAAACATCTTTTACTACTTAAGTTCACATACATTTATATTATTAATAGAATCAAGCTTTCATTATTAGGCACAGCTTTATAATAATTAATTCGCACCATACATCCACTTACAGTTCAGACACACACATGCTCTCATAGGGTTACCTGCAGTTACGTGGATGGAGTAGGAGTAGTAGCAATAGGAGGCCAACGGGGAGAGTGGCTGGGAGACCCTTTAGTGTGCATCTATTACACCAGGGTCTTTGTCAGAATACAGCAACCTCCACCTTCCTGGATATGATCCATGTGATACAGCCCATTGTTGATGCTACTATGTACCAGCTGCTTTGAACAAGTTCAGTACAATTTGGAGTTCTGTCGGTTTTTGCAGGTTCAGCTGGACCATCAGTCCTTAGAAGAATTTAAATGCTATTTCTTAGCATGTGTGTATCTTCTCTTCAGCCTGCTATTTTCTGTTAACCACCTGTCCATCTACATGTTGGTTCTCCTAAATCCATATCTCACAAAGGACAGAACTTTCACAAGGGTTTACACAAAATGCTGATACACTGTCACTTGTACACCTGCCAAGTTACACACAAAAGGTGGAGATCCATCTTCAAATCCATACCGTGCATATTTGGACTATATGACAATGCTAATTAATGAATAGGTTCATTTTCTTTACCCTCCTGGCTTAACATATTTGCAGCTCTTTTTGAAAGGCAATGTCAGTTAAGTAATTCATGTACATGGAAAAGCCTGCTCAGGTAAGAAAAAGAGCTCTCATTTCTTAACTTACAGGTTCAAGAAGGAGAAAAAATACCATTTATTGGATTTAACTATTGACCATACCATTGATACTTTGGGAATGAAGGACTCTCTTCCGTTCTGTTGGAGTGTTGCTGGATCTTGTCTTGCTCACATTAGTCATTAACTGAAGAATAAGAATGTTGATTTTGCTGTTTGAGTACCATCTGCTTGTTATTTTTTTTTCATGTTGGGTACAGGTTGCTGTCTGTTAAAAGACAAAAGAAAATCAATACTAGTGTTGAAAAAGAACCTTGTGTATTCAGCTTTGCAAAGTTCTCCTGTGAGCACCAAGAAAAGAACTAGTAATAAGGGAAAAAAAGAAAGCAAACAACCCAAAGGAATGCCAGACTTAATTGCCAGTGCACACATAAGCAATATTGTTTTTCCAATTGCAAAGAACAGAGTAAAAAATAAAAAGGGGGTGAAGCATTTTCAAGTAAGATACAAATAGACTGATGACATACATTTACATTTCAGCTATATGCTTTTATGTCCTTTCATTTAACACTGATATATCTTGAACAGTTTGTTGGTACAGTGTCACAAATTGAAAGAGAAAAATGAATTCTCTGTATTTAAAATATTAAGAAAAAGGCAAGATTTTTATTTCTGTTGTTGGCAAGAATTATTGAATCATCATCATAATCTTTTACATTCCAGTCTCTGAATATTTCAGTGTGTTCAACTGGGCATTCTGAAGACGAGGAAACCTTAAATAATTCATAATCCTATCAGGAAAAAAAAAAATAAAAATGTTGAGTCTGCAGTGCTACATTTTGGCTCTTTTTGTTTTTTTTGTTCTTCTTTAAAGTAGTTGTGCAATATTCTCTGCCTGTTCCTGAATTAAGACACAGATAAAAAAAATTAAACTGAGATAACAAGCTAGATATTGAGCCACTAGATTGAGTTTGATTCTCTACTCTATTAATCTCTCTTCCACACTAAATTTCTGACCGATTTCTAATTAGTTATGAGAATATTTTTCATGTACCTTGATACCACAATGAGAAGGCTTAGGAAGAAATCTGTAGTGTCTCTTCTGTTAAGAAGCAGAGCATATCATTGAAACACTTACCTAATATGACTAGAATTAATGACGTCTGGTGCTGGGCTTCTCTGAGATTCCCATATACTTTGTGAGTTGCTTGCCAAGTCAAACCTGCTCAACACAATTAGCTGTTCATGTACTAACGAGAGCAGGAAGAGCTGCCAGCAAAGAAGACAAGTAAAACAATCCTAAAATACTTACCAGTTTGCTGGGAGGTGAGACAAGGTACACAGTAAGGATGGGTTGGGAAAATAAAAAGCAGGCTTGATTGTCTTCTTGTGCACTGACACCATTTCACAGAGAATATGTAACAGGAGAAAAGGAGGAAGGACATTAGCTATTAGACACTGATGATGTCTGCCAGTTCTGTGGCTTTCACTTCACTGCTTCTGGTAGTTATCTTGTAAAAACCTATTTAAAAGAAGCAAGAGTGCAAATGTTAGAGTAATACAAGCCACTGTGACAGGTTGTAAGAAACTTTAAGCTTCAGTCAACTGGTCAATCTTCCCACTTCCCTCATCTGTAATATTAAGTGTTTTGATTGATGATTCTAGATTCTGAGACATAAAGTGTTCAGAAGGATAGAAGGAGGTTAATAGTTGCACTGGCCATTTAAATAGGAACTATTTAGGAACCAGTCAGAGAACAGTGCTCTGTGGACAAATGCAGATACACACTCACCTATCTGACTACATGTATATATGTTTCATTGAATTAACTTCACTCTTCAAAAAGCTTACACTAAAGGGACAAAAAGCAAACAGTCTGAGGGACGTGGTTTAGTTTCCAAGGAGGTGATGGGTTGATGGTTGGACTACATGATCATAGTGGTTGTTTCCAGCACTAGGGAGGCATAGTCTAAGCTTAGAAGTCACATACTTTTTCAGCAGATCAGAAAGATCTGCCAATTAAAATCTGAGTGCTAAATGGAATCCTGGGGCATATTTCTTTAGGAACTTTATAGGTAATCACTAGAAGAAGGCAAGATCTTAATTTTGCAGAAAATAGCCATTCCTTCGTCACTGTCAGGCTAATGTTGTTTGGTAGAGGTTTTTTTAACACTGTCTTGAGTAAACACAAAAATAACTTCCCCAACTTCCATTCAGCAAAGCAGTTTATGTTTATACTCTACATGTTATCCAATTAAAAAAAAAATATATCAAAAGCTCTTTGGGACTGTACTTATTTTTTTAATGAAATCAATGTCTGCATCTAGTTACTTATAAGTAACTCTCAATAACACTTCCTTACGAGAAAGTTATTTCAGCTTCAGGCAGATAAAAGGATTATTAGAAAACTGTGCGAGTGTGCATGCATGTTGAAACATTCTTGAAGAACTACTTGGACATCACCTCGAGCCCCTATAAACAAAAATAACTTTCCCACTGAAAGCAAAGGAGGACACAGATCTAAATGTGATGGATTCTGGACTGGTGATAACATCTGTGATACACACACAAATACCCAACCTTTTTAAAACCATAACTATGGCAAATTTTGTCAAAACTTTAAAAAACAAATGTTATTATTTAATCTACCCACTGCTATCTTATCATACTTATTAGGATTTTCTCCTGTAGCATACCTCATACTATGCAGTAGACTCACTATGTAAAATACCAGCAAAAAAGGTTGACATAATGACTCATTACAATTTAAATCTTATTACACAAAGCTTCATTCAAGTCAGTATATATAGTACTGAACCGCAGGGGTACATTTTAGCCTGGTGTGAGCAGAATGAATCATGCAATTCTCATTACAGTTAATAGAAGGAACAGATCTATTCCTGCATGTGAGCCCCTGGAAGTGCACCACACAATTCATATTTGAATCATACTTCATGGGAAGTGGCTACTCCAGTAAACAGACAAAGTGCACTAGCATGTTTTAAACTTTAAAGTTCATCTGATTCAAATTTTTTGGAAAGGACATTTCCTCATATTAATAACCTAGTACAAATGCATCATTGGCACTGATGATTACTCCTAATTGCCACAAGGATAAGTGGAGCCTTTCAGGAGCTTAAGAAGTAAGGGGCATAAACCATATTAATATGGAACAAGTTTGTCCTCTCTGCTCGTTATCTTCACTGACAGACTGCTATCTTTTCCCTTCCTAGGCTCTTATAAACACTGTTGTCCATGCAGAAATGGTTATTACTGAACCTGGCTGCTCCCTTATTGAATTTTAGGATATATTTTTAATTATTATTTTTGTATAAACTATGCTTGAAGACTAATAGCTTATATACTTATGGTTTTAGTTGCTTGTTTTACTAATGGCTTGTTCCAGCTAATTAAAAGAAATCTCCAGGAAATCTCTTTCTTCTGCTAAGTAGGTTGCACAAACAGCTTCAAGGAGAATGCATCCTTCTAGCCATAAATCTGTACTTATAACCAACTGCCAAGCCTGACTGCATATGCTGGAGTAGTATGCTTGTAACTTCAGTTACACGTGCCCTCAAAAAGTGATATTTATCATTAATTATTGGTTGCTTTTTTTTTTTTTTTAAATAAGTAACCTGTAAAGTATTGTTAATTATGGATAATGCTCCTGTAGACACGGCTTTTACTGAACATCTTTCTAGTTCTTTTACTGCAGTTTAGAGATTTCAATTATGTATGTGAACTGCTAGAAAAAAAAAGTTCTACCTTTTCCTTATTTTTGCACAACATGAACCTCCCCCCCCAACTCAACTGTAATTCAGATAGCTTGCATTGCTTATAAAACTTAAGTATAATCAAGTCATTTCTCCAGTTATTAGAGAGAGATTTTTTGAGAAACAAAGTCTGATGTGTTTTGAAAGCAGAAGCTAGCTTGGAAAAAAAAAAAAAAAAAAAAAAAAAAAAAAAAAAAAGCTTCTTTTAAAGATAAAAGCTGTATAGAGTGTGCATTTGAATTCATTTGGAAAAGAATTCAAATAGCTAAAATCCTCAAAGAGCAGAAAGGTGCAGGTTACCAGTACAGCGCTGCTTCTGCAGAATGGCAGCATCATCAGGAATTCAGCTTCATTGCTGAGATTTCACAGAGAAGCAGTAAAGCACCTCTTATCCAAAGGGCTTCCAAAGGCACTTTCTGAAAAAGCAGGGTTTCCATTGTGTCCATGTTGTGAGCTTGGCAGAGGTATTCATCAACCATTATTGATTTAGAAGGAGGCATGGCTGGAGTGAGGAGAATTGATCTGAGTCCTCCCTTGGCTAAGTTAACTATTTGAAGGATCTATTCATATCAAGATGAAGCACTGAAGAATGACCTACAATGACAAGAAGCAGGTATCTATCTTTGCAGAGTGCGTGTAAAACTCTGGTTTGCTGTTCTTGGGTCTGGATTTTATTATTTTTTTTTTTTTCTCTCTCTGTTAGCTTTTAGAAACATTATCTTTTTTAAGTCTAGTGTTTCCTGTTATTTTTCTTTCCAGGAAATTATTTGAGGAACTAGAATGACAGCTTCTACTGAGATGATATGAGAAAGGGAAATGGGAAAAAGATCTTTCAACTTTCTATTCGTTAGTCTGACTTGCATAAAACCAAATGAGATAATAATACCTTAACTGTACTGTATTGGTCAACCTCCCCTGTCCCAAATTTCCTTTTAATATATCCAAGGGTTATTTCTGTGGTCAGTATTGCCATCCTTGTCTTTTCTGTTTTTATATTAGTTCTCTTCCAGAAGAATTTATAACTTACCTTTCTCAGAGAGAGGACCAGGGGCTAGTAGGGCTCGGGAGAATCACTCTTGGATACTCTTTGATGAGGTCCCTTACTTTGACACCAGTTGGACTTGGACTTCCCCATCTCTGTGATCACTGGGCCGTATTTCTTCCATATGTTTTGTCCAGCTTTAATCTTACATCCTCAACACTTTTCTTCAACAGATCTTATGAGTACTGATTTCTTTACTGACAGCCATCCAAAATGCTTCTGCAAGGAGCATTTCTCTTCTGTCACATCACAGATAACCTTCCTGTCACGTGCCGATTTGGCCTTTCCTTCAAGTCATCATTTCACATGAAGTGCTGATACATCAAGTGCCATCACTGATTAACTTCTGATCTCAGCTTGTTCAGTGGTTTACTAGAGCAAGGGACAAACACATTTGTTCTTTGCCTTGCGCTGCTAGTCACAGTGCAGAAGTCTCTTTTATAGAAACAAGCCATTTCAGCCTTTTTCCCCCCCCCCATCTTTCTTCTCTCAAAAAGCCTTTTTCAAGGAAATGCAGATACTTTTTTGCTTATATGCTCCTGGCCCAAGCCCTATGGCTTCCACTTGGCTGAACAACGTAAGATTTAATCTCTTCCTAAAGAAGAAAACAAAAAGCTACACACAAATACAAGAAAATGAAAACAAACAGATGCATCTTTCATTATTTTTCTATTAATTCCAAATAAAAATACTCTGTTACTACTCCCACAGTAAACTTGGAAAAGGTGAAATTGTGTCTATACAAAATAGATCCTTTATATGAATTAAGCTATTTATCAGCTTTGAATTCTGCACATACTAACAGCTGAATTGTATTTGGTACACAACTTCAGACATCTTTTTCTTTGTGATTATTGTAGTGACTAGCACAACAGGTTCCTTAACCTGTGAGTAGGGCCACTGTATGCTACAGTGCAAGCAATTACTATAATTATTTAAAAATATCAGAAGCAAGACTAAAGAATCAGTGCATCAGTTTTATAATTCTATATAAATGCTACTACAATTTAAACCGCTGTAGTAATTTAGAATGTTGTCTTTAGAACCAGCTCATTCAGATCTGACAGCCCTGTAGGAAAGGAATAAAGAGAAGATCATAACCTTTTAAGGTGAAGAATAAACATGGGATTCAAAAATTCTGAGTAGCTCAAGGTCTTTACTACATTTCTTGATTTACTTTATTTCAAGATCTTTATTAATTTATGTGCTTTAATCATATATTTAAACCAATGTGTGTGTGCGTGTGTTTGTGTGTGTACATATAGATAACTAGCTAGATAGATTGATGATCTTTCCCTGCTCAGTTCTTTGCTTCATGCAGTAAAGCATCAGCTATTAATGAGATTTTATTCCAGAGGAACAAATTAGAGTTAGTCTGAAGTAAAATCCCTGGAAATATACACAGTATTGATGTTGGGTTTGTGTTTCAGCATTTTAAAAAAAATAAATTAATGTGCACACAGAAAATCCTCAAGATTTTAATTACGAGAAGGAAAGTTGCACTATTCTGTTTTAAGGCATTCCTGTTAAGTGAGAACTAGAAATCACAATCGCTCTTTTTCATGATTCATTAATCTAGGGAGGAAAGATAAATAGCCTTGTTCTTCTGAAAATAAGTAAATTTAAAGAGAAATCAGGGACTGAAAAGGATACACCTGTCTAACATATTCTCCTTTCAGAAGGAATTTCTGTTATGGCCCCCAAAAAGATCAGGGTTCTGAGAATTTTGTTATTTTATGCATCTTATCTTTGCTGCTAAAACTACCAGACTGCTTACTGTCTTCCAAATGAAGTGATCATCGAATCATCTTGTATTTCCATTTTATTGCCTTTACATTTATGAATCACTGATTTTATCCTTACATTGCACTGAGTTAGACTCTCACTTAATAGACAAAATGACCATTTTCTTTTTGTAAACCCTACTATCTCTATTTCTTTTCTTCTCTGCACTGTAATCTGTGACTTACAATAGGCCACTGCTCAGTAAAATGGTGAGGTGCTAGTTCAGCCTAATATTATTCTTTTTTTTTTTTAAATCTGACTGCCAGTCCATTGTTACTGCACTTTTCCAGTACATGCTCTTTAAATTATCTGACTTCCCAATAAGTTGAACAGTGCATTATATTCACCTGAAACTTGTTCGGATAATTATCTCATACAATATTTGATCCCTTCCTAACATTCAGTGTTGGCTACTGTTCCCTATTTCATGCTGTGCAGTTTCAATTTATCATTCAACTTTTGTAACGTTGAATATTACACTGAATTGCACATCATAGTGCATTCAATCTTTGCCATCTTAGATGTAACACTAGATTGTCATTACAGCAGCCTTCGTTAACTTTTGGGGTTTTTTTTTGTTTTTTTTTTAAACCTTTTCTCACTTCTCCATGGTGATTACAAGTTTCTGACCTGTGTCCTGAAAACACAGTGGAAGTTCTATTTCATACGCTTAATGAGTGAACGTGCTTTGTAGCATTTGTTGTAAGTGCACATTACCAAAGCTCCACCAACTCATACTTGGCCCAAGTCTGTTTCTTAACCTACTCATTTCCTGCCAACATGAGCTTTTCTCATGTTTTTACCATAAATTTGTTCATATCCATTTTTTATTAGGAGATCAAGTAACGTATTAGATACTTTTGCCTTTTCTGGTTTCTTTGCAGAAATAAATTCAGACAAGAGAGCCTAGTACTCTCACACAATAGCTTCTGCTTTTAAAAAAACAACTTAATAAAAAACAAGATGTAATTAATTCATTATGCTTTATAACTGTAGACTTCCTCCATTCTCACAGTAGCATTTAGCCCTCGATCCCAGTGAACTCAGGGATCCCTTAAACCAACATGAAATACATAGATTACTCAGAAAGTAATGCCTCCTATTTATTTCCATGGAAAATATGATAAAAAGAACATGATAACACTATTTGATAGAGCAAATTCTCAGCTACAAAACACTGTTTTTCAACAATCACCACTCTTAGCTGTGCATTTTCACCAGCAAAGAACAAGAACATGCATACTATGCTTGCATAAGTCTGCACCAGCTGAGATGACTCACTGCCACCTCTGCTGAAAAATACCACCCACTGAGTCACCATGCTCATTTCAGTTGGAAGGTACCACTAAAGGTCAACTAGTACAATTCCACTGCAATGGACAGTCACTGTTTGGTCTCCATAACCATTCAGCAAAGGTATGCCAAAAAGTGCAATTTTCTTCTAGAGAAATATCATTATTCACTACTTATTGCCCTCAACCTTTTGTCAGCTTTCATCTCCTTACAAATTTTGCAGATTTAGAGTCACAGAATCGTTCAGTTGGAAGGGACCTTTAAAGGTCACCTAGTGCAACTCCCCTGCAATGAACAGGGACACCTACAGCTGGATCGAGTTGCTCAGAGCCCCGTCCAGTCTGACCTTGAACATTTCCATCCGCCACCTCTCTGGGCAACCTGTTCCAGTGCTTCATTACCCTTATTCTTCTGAAGAAATATCTTCAGTAAAAAAATGAAAACAAGATTAGCATCTATTCTGAAGAGGCTTTTTTCCAGTCCACTGTATAATGACTGCAAAAAGAAAGAATGTTGAATACACAATTTTTTTTTATTTATTATTATCAATCCCATTGGTTTCAAGTTTCTATCATTGCAATGCAAATTAATATATAGAACACTATTATTATTAAGAGAAACTGTGAAATGATAAACATGTCCAGAATCTGCATAAATGCAACAAGGAAAAGGAAATCATTTGCTCTCACAGTAGCGAGACATATTGGTACTTTTGCTAAAGTAGAAGATCTGACCTAACTTCTAAATAATTAGGAATATTTCTGAAACTTAATCAAATATTACATTTAGAAATAGCATAATTTTCATTTCCTTTGATTAAAATAGATTTTAGCAATATAGCCTCATGTCTCGTACATCAAACTCCAAAGAAGCAATCAGCACAATAGTTGGTGGTAAGAGAACTTAAACATTTTATTATGGGCAATTTATTATATGAAATAGCACTGAAAATTCATCTTCTATTAATTTTAATCAGGGGCTAGCATTTTAGCAGGCCAATAAGCCAATAAGTCAAGCAAAGAGCAGATTAACTAAATGTACATTGCAAAAGACAGTACAAAGCCTGCATGTAGAGTAGCTTCTCAGCTGCTCCAATTCTTAAAGAGATTAAAGATATGACTGTTGTGTATCTCTTCAACTAATTACCATTCTGTATAATGTTAGCTTCCAAGTTATTTCTCTGGTGCTCTCCTAACAGCAGTCTGATCATTGCTGCCTGAGACTGAAACTAGTATAGGAAAAGCTGTACTGTAAAAACCATAAATTTTACTACACTGAAAGTCTTCTTTATTCCTTTTCTTTCTTGCTTTAACCCCAGTGTAGAAAAAGAGTCCTTACCCCACTAAGAAGGCAGTCCTTAGATGGAAGTTCTACAGCTATTATTTGCCACTCATTTCATCTATCCTCAAGCATATTTCATTACCTCAGTCACTTGCTAACATAAATTAAGTCAGCTTTTACACATGGAGTTATCTAAAACATGTGAATGGTGAGGGAAGCAGTGTCATCACAAGAGAAAAAAAGCCTGTCTAAGTTAAGCTATCTACTCCTTTGACAGTGAAGCAGGGGGAAGCATGGCAGCATTGTTACACAGCACACAGCTGAATGATGGCTGAACAGAGCTTTCAAACTTTTTAATCTGTTCTTTGATCATCTCTGAAACAGATCAAGGCAAAGCCATTCCTTTCCTCTCTGACAAAAAGTAGTTCTCTATGTAAACATATCCTCCTATTCTATATGGTATCAGAAAATTGGATATATCACCTACTTACTCCATTGCACTCTTCTCAGTACAAAGGCCTGAGCCTAGAACTGCTTTGGACCATGTCCTTCATTGATTAGCCTGAGTAGGGCAATGTCCTTCCTGAATTGAGGCTGGTATGACTGGTAATAAGAGGCATAAGGAATGCTAGAAGAAAAAGAATTGTTTGTGTAGAGGGCCTTCAAAACTGGAGAGGAATTCTCAGAAACGATGCGAGTCATTTGGAAGTTGATATTATAAGAATCAATCGATAGCTAGTAAGAAAAAATAGTCCTGATTGGAGTACATTCATCCAAGTCTTTGCCATCTCTGCAGAACAGATAGTTCTGTAGTGTATGTTAAAGATGTGCTAGGACATAGACGCACAAGAAATCAATCCATTTGGGTCAAAACATCTTTTGAAAAGTATGCTTAATAGTCATTGAGAGGCCATGGGGATTCCTTCTACATGGTTTAATAGGTTAATTTAATTCATGACTTGATATTTTTCCAGTATTTATTAAACGGGTGGACAAAAAACACTTGTAATTTTGAAATTTCCTCTTACTGCTACCAGCAGCAGTTAGGCTCATATGTACTTCACTGTGAAATTTCACAAGGTTCTTCAACAAAGAATCAACGACACTACAGGGTAGGGATGTTGTCTCAGTCACAATTTTGGTAATCAGTGGGAATATTAAACAAA